GCTCCCCGGTTGGCCGCGAACTGCGCACGTGTCGCCACTTTCGCGGGCCCCCGGGAGGCACGGCGGAGTAGGGGAGTACTGCGGGGCCTCGCAGCTCCCTGGGTGGCTGTGCGAACTTTGTATCTGTCGCCACATTCGTGGGCTCCCGAGAGGCACGGCGGAGTAGGGGAGTACTGCGGGACGACGCAGCTCCCTGGGTGGCTGCGAACTTTGTATCTGTCGCCACATTCGTGGGCTCCCGAGAGGCACGGCGGAGTAGGGGAGTACTGCGGGACGACGCAGCTCCCTGGGTGGCTGCGAACTTTGTATCTGTCGCCACATTCGTGGGCTCCCGAGAGGCACGGCGGAGTAGGGGAGTACTGCGGGACGACGCAGCTCCCTGGGTGGCTGCGAACTTTGTATCTGTCGCCACATTCGTGGGCTCCCGAGAGGCACGGCGGAGTAGGGGAGTACTGCGGGACGACGCAGCTCCCTGGGTGGCTGCGAACTTTGTATCTGTCGCCACTTTCGTGGGCTCCTGGGATGCACGGCGGAGTAGGGGAGTATTGCGGGACCTCGCAGCTCCCTGGGTGGCTGCGAACTTTGTATCTGTCGCCACATTCGTGGGCTCCCGAGAGGCACGGCGGAGTAGGGGAGTACTGCGGGACGACGCGGCTCCCTGGGTGGCTGCGAACTTTGTATCTGTCGCCACTTTCGCGGGCTCCTAGGAGGCACAGTGGAGTAGGGCATTTCCCTGGACCTCGCAGCTCACTTGGTGGCTGCGAACTTTGTATCTGTCGCCAGTTTCGCGGGCTCTTGGGAGGCACGCTGGAACTGGGGATTACCCGAGACCTCGCAGTTTCTTCGGTGGCTACGAACTTCGTGTATGTCGCCACTTTCATGGGCTCCTTGGAGGTACGGCGGAGTGGGGGGTTACCTGAGATCTCGCAGCTCTTGAGTTGCTGCGGACTGCGCAACTATCGCCACTTTCGTGGGCTTCTTGGAGGCACGGCGGAGTAGGGGAGTGGTCGGGACCTCCCAGCATCCGGGTGGCTGCGAACTGTGTATGTCTCACCACTTTCGCGGGCTCCTGAGATGCACGGCGGAGTAGGGGAGTACTGCGGGACCTCGCAGCTCCCTGGGTGGCTGCGAACTTTGTATCTGTCGCCACTTTCGTGGGCTCCTGGGATGCACGGCGGAGTAGGGGAGTATTGCGGGACCTCGCAGCTCCCTGGGTGGCTGCGAACTTTGTATCTGTCGCCACATTCGTGGGCTCCCGAGAGGCACGGTGGAGTAGGGGAGTACTGCGGGACGACGCAGCTCCCTGGGTGGCTGCGAACTTTGTATCTGTCGCCACTTTCGCGGGCTCCTAGGAGGCACAGTGGAGTAGGGCATTTCCCTGGACCTCGCAGCTCACTTGGTGGCTGCGAACTTTGTATCTGTCGCCAGTTTCGCGGGCTCTTGGGAGGCACGCTGGAGCTGGGGATTACCCGAGACCTCGCAGTTTCTTCGGTGGCTACGAACTTCGTGTATGTCGCCACTTTCATGGGCTCCTTGGAGGTACGGCGGAGTGGGGGGTTACCTGAGATCTCGCAGCTCTTGAGTTGCTGCGGACTGCGCAACTATCGCCACTTTCGTGGGCTTCTTGGAGGCACGGCGGAGTAGGGGAGTGGTCGGGACCTCCCAGCATCCGGGTGGCTGCGAACTGTGTATGTCTCACCACTTTCGTGGGCTCCTGAGATGCACGGCGGAGTAGGGGAGTACTGCGGGACCTCGCAGCTCCCTGGGTGGCTGCGAACTTTGTATCTGTCGCCACTTTCGTGGGCTCCTGGGATGCACGGCGGAGTGGGGGAGTACTGCGGGACCTCGCAGCTCCCTGGGTGGCTGCGAACTTTGTATCTGTCGCCACATTCGTGGGCTCCCGAGAGGCACGGCGGAGTAGGGGAGTACTGCGGGACGACGCAGCTCCCTGGGTGGCTGCGAATTTTGTATCTGTCGCCACTTTCGCGGGCTCCTAGGAGGCACAGTGGAGTAGGGCATTTCCCGGGACCTCGCAGCTCACTTGGTGGCTGCGAACTTTGTATCTGTCGCCACTTTCGCGGGCTCTTGGGAGGCACGCTGGAGCTGGGGATTACCCGAGACCTCGCAGTTTCTTCGGTGGCTACGAACTTCGTGTATGTCGCCACTTTCATGGGCTCCTTGGAGGTACGGCGGAGTGGGGGGTTACCTGAGATCTCGCAGCTCTTGAGTTGCTGCGGACTGCGCAACTATCGCCACTTTCGTGGGCTTCTTGGAGGCACGGCGGAGTAGGGGAGTGGTCGGGACCTCCCAGCATCCGGGTGGCTGCGAACTGCGTATGTCTCACCACTTTCGTGGGCTCCTGAGATGCACGGCGGAGTGGGGGAGTACCCGAGACCTCGCAGCTCCCTGGGTGGCTGTGCGAACTTTGTATGTGTCGCCCATTTCGCGGGCTCCTGGGATGCACGGCGGAGTAGGGGAGTACTGCGGGACCTCGCAGCTCCCTGGGTGGCTGCGAACTTTCTAACTGTCGCCATTCTCGTGGACTCCTGGGAGGCACGGCGGAGTGGGGGTGTACGCGCATCCAGCCGAGGCCTCGCTGCTCACTGGGCGGCTGCGAACTGCGCAACTGTCGCTACTTTCCTGGGCTCCTAGGAGGCACGGCGGAGTGGGGGAGCACGCAGACCGAGCAGAGATCTTGCGGCTCCCTGGGGGGCCGCACAGTGCGCAACTGTCGTCACTACCGCTGGCTCCTAGGAGGCACGGCGGAGCAGAGTACTCTTGCAACGTGTTCTTTTGCAGGGAGCGTCCCTTTCAATGGTCGACTCTCGTTGAGAAGGGGTTGGGTACGTCTCGGGTAATTGTTTTTCCCAACCCTCTCGTGATTGGGTTCTCGTTTTGAATAGAGCAGTGGGGTCTGCATCTCCTCCTCGCCCCCCCTGCTCTCCTTTCGGCTCTCTCCTCTCGCATCCTTCTTGGGGGGCTGCGACGTGTGAAACTGTCGCCACTTTCGAGGGCTGCTGGGGGAGCCAGCACAGTGGGGCCCCACGCAGATCCAGACGGGATCTCTCCTTCCTCTGGGGGCTGCGCAGTGTGGAACTGTCGCCACTTTCGAGGGCCACTTTCGAGGGCTGCTGGGGGAGCCAGCGTAGTGGGGCCACACGCAGATCCAACCCGGACCTTGCTATCCCTGGGGGGCTGCGAAAGGTGAAACTGCTACCACTTTCGAGGTCGGCTGGGGGAGCCAGCACAGTGGGGCCACTGCTGCGCAGCGTGAGACCGCCGCCACTTTCGAGGGCTGCTGGAGGGGCCAGCCCCCCGCAGATCCCCAAAGGACCTTGCCTTAGGTCGGGCGTGCCCCCCTACAGGGGGATTTTCGGCGAAAAACAAAAAGACCCCCAAAATACACCGAAAAGGTAAAAACATATTCAACAAATAGTCCCCTGACTATTTTTGGATTATTTTTTGATTATTCTTTTGGTATTTTTCCCTACCTAGGCTCTGCCTAGAAGGGTTCTTACTCGCTTGGCTTAAAGGGCCGGGCAGTGGAACCCGCCCCGGGCGGTTCCCCTGGTCCCCTGGGAGCCAAGCAAAAGCAACATCAAAGGTAAAAGCAACCGCGCGGTTCCCCCAGTTGCGCTCCCTGGGTGCCAAGCAAAAGCAAAAGCAAAGGCAAAAGTGAAGGCAAAAGCGACGGCAAAGCAAAAGCAAAAACATATCATAGCATAGCACAGCATAGCGCAGCATAGCCTAACGCAGCATAACATAGCATAGCATAGCATAGCCTAGCCTAGCCTAGCCCAGCATGGCATTGCGCAACATAGCATAGCATAGCATAGCATAGCACAGCATAGCATAGCATAGCAGGGTATCGCATAGCATAGCATAGCACAGCATAGCATAACATAGCGCAGCCCAGCATCCACGTATGTTCCATGCATGTTTCTTTCCTAGAGGCTCCAACTCCTAGGTAGGGTCGCACTGGGATAATATTGTTTTTCGTCGAAAATCCCCCTGTAGGGGGACACGCCCGACTTAAACCTTGCCATTCCTGGGGGGCTGCGCAGTGTGGAACCATCACCACTTTCGAGGGCTGCTAGGGGGAGCCAGCACAGTGCGGCCACACGCAGAATCCAAACGGGACCTCGCCATCCCTGGGGGGCTGTGAAGTGTGAAACTGTCGCCCACTTCATCTGCCGGCATGTTTTTTTCAATCCGCGGCCCTAGAGGTCCCGATAGCTTCCCCAGTTTGATGGTCCCAGCATAATGGGGCCCCAGGGGCCGAAATCGAGGAACAACTGCAGGATGGGACAGCTCCTCTCCGCGGGTAGTTTTCCACTCCGGACTCTTGGGCTTACGCCACACCTCCGACCCCTTGGGGAACTGGCGGTGGTTGTGTGTTGCTCCTGAGGGCCTCTTGTGCGCCTTGTGGGGGATTCTTGAAGCTCCGTTGGCGTTCGCCCAGATCCCAGGGCCCCCCCCCCCTCCAGGGGGCGGGGAAACATCTCACACGCCGACGAGCCCCGAGGGGTCGGCGGACTTCTCTTTGATGGCCCGTGGGGCCCGACGACGGGCTCCTGGGGCCGACTCCGAGGGAGCACGGCGGGATGGAGCAGGCCGTGCCGTCGGAGCTCGGGGCCGCCGCCGAGCAGCCGCGCCGCTCGAGGCGCTTTTCCCGGTGGCCGCGCGGGCCGCTCACCCCGCGCGGCCCCCGCCCGCCCTCCTCGGGCGCGGCCCGCGCGGGGGGCGGGGCCGATGGCGCGGCCGCGCGCCGCGAGCCGCGGCGCGGCTGCGGGCCGCGAGCCGTGGAGCCTCGGCACGACCACGGGCCGCGAGCCGAGGCTCCTCGCGGCCCCCCTCGGCGGCCCCTCGGCGGCTCCCCCTCGGCGGCCCCCCTTCGGCGGCCCTCGGCGGCCCTCGGCGGCCCCCTCGGCGGTCCCTCGGCGGCCGCCCTCGGCGGCCCCTCGGCGGCACACTCGTCGGCCTGCCTGGCGCCGCCGGAGGTCGCCGCGGTGCCCAGCGCGGCCCTGCTGGGGCTCGCCGCCTCGGCGCTGCGCCGTGGTGCCCAGCGCGGCCAGCCGCCAGAGGGGCCTGAGCGCTGGCGCCGTGCCCAAGGCACGTGCGCAGCAGGACGCTGCGGCCCCCCCGACGGAAGGCCAGCTGCGGGTGCGCCCCGCGGAGCTGCTGGAGCCGGCCTGTGAGCGGGCGTGCTCCCTCTTCGACTCCGAGTCGGAGTCGGAGGAGGGGTCCCCGCTCGAGGGGCCGTGGCAATCGCGCTCGCCAGGGCCGCTCGCGAGGCCCCGCGCCTGGGAGGCGCCCCCGGCGAAGTCGGCGGCGGCCCTGCGCGAGGAGGGCTCCTCGTCGCCCGCCGTCGCGGCTGCGGACTGCAGCCGGCGAGCAACCCCAGCGGCAGACTTGGAGTTCTCCGACGCCGCCGAGGGCGGCGCGGTGGGGCCGTGGGAGGCCAAGATGCGCCAGAAGCGCTGGAGGTCCCACCAGCGGCGCGTGCAGCGGGTGGCCCGGCTCGAGGAGGCCGCGCAGCTGCGAAGGGCTTGGGCTGCCGGCGCAGGGGCCGAGCTGCAGCGCCGCGACGGGTCGGCGGAGCGGCCGCCCAGCGCCGCGCAGCGCCCAGGCCATGGCCTTCCCCGCTGGCGCGTGAACACCTCCAGCGTGGACCCGGACAGGTGGGCGGCGCCGTTGGTCCAGGACATTATCCAGGCACTGGGCTGGGGCGAGCTCAGCACAGCGGAGGACGGCCCCGGCGACGTGGTGCTGCTGCTGAACGCGAGGAGCATTCAGGACTGGCTGCCGCACATGAGATCTTCGCAGTCACAGCTGTGCGGCGCATGGTTCAGCCGGTTTCCAGGCTCGAGGGACGTGTGCGAGAAGCGCAACTTCGCGCTGGCGGCCAGGTTGGCCCGCAAGGTGGACCCGAACTGCCTGTGGAGCTTGCCCGAGACCTGGACACTTCCCGAGGAGCTGCCAAACTTGCTGGCGTATCTTGACGACGCCAAGGGACAGCAGCCAGTCATCGTGAAGCCTGGCGACGGCAGCCACGGAGACGGCATCTTCCTCGCGCGCACGAGCGCGCAGGTGAAGCATGGCCTGCTGTCCGACGGCGAGTCGATCAGCAGTGGCGTAGCGCAGACCTATATCGACCGGCCTCTCTTGCTGGGCGGCCGCAAGTTCGACCTGCGGCTCTACGTGTGCGTCGTCGGGCTCGACCCCCCGCGCGCCTTCCTGTGCCACGAGGGCCTGGTGCGGTTCCGCTGCCGACGCCGGGGCTCGGCCCGCCCCCGCCGCTGCGAGACGCTTGCTCCCCAGACGTGCGACGTCCCGATTTTTCCAGCACGCGGTCCCTGGAAGTCCCGACGACCGGCTCCTCATCCCGAGTCGTTTTTTGACGGTCCTGGGGCCCGCCTGGGGCCCCCAGGGGCCGAAAGCAACCAAAGACCCCCGTCCCGAATTTCCTACGACGCGATCGTGTCAGGATCCGTGGCCCCCCCTCCGCGGAGGGCAGCCATGCGCCGCCCGGCATCCCTGGCCAGGTCCGCCCAGGCCCCTGGGCATGGTGAGGAGGCCCGCCGGCTCGCGGCTGGGAGGCCGCGCGCCTCTTCTCCTCCTCCTCCTCCTCCTCCTCCTCCTCCTCCTCCTCCTCCTCCTCCCCCTCCCCCCCCTCCTCCTCCTCCTCTTCCTCCTCCTCCTCCTCCTCCTCCTCCTCCTTCTCCTCCTCCTCCTCCTCCTCCTCCTCCTCCTCCTCTGCCTCCTCCTCCTGCTGCTCCTCCTCCTCGTTCCCCTCTTGGCGCATGGCTGCAGTCTCCGAGCCCTGTCCCCTCCGAGGCGCCGTGGCGCTCTGGCAGAGCCCGGGCAGGTCCGCGGCGCGACGGGGCCTCGTCGGCTCGTGGAGGGCGCGATATTTCGTTGACAAAGCATACGCGCTGCGGTTGCGTGTAGAGGATCGGGGCTGGACAGAACCCCCAACAGTGACACGTCGATTAGTGAATTGTCCGTTTTCGGCTCTCGAGAGGGCGCCGTGGCCGTTATTTTCCAGGCTTGCGCCCGCCAAGTTTGGGCCTCAGGTCGTTTTTCTCTAAACCACGTTTTACTAAAGGGGGGTCTGTCCATCCCCGAGAGAATCGGGTGTTGGCGTTATGCCGATTTGTTTGTTCGCGGCAAGTCCCTCGCACTGCGATTGCGCATCTCTCGGCGCGGCGAGTGTTAAAGCATCGCCAAGAAAGCCGTACCACGCGACAGATCGTCGCCCATACTCGTGCAATGGCTGCAACATGTGGCGCGCTTATCCGCGTCGTTTCGGGGCGTACTCCTTCGTTTTCGTCGTCGTCCCCCCCGCCTCCGTCTCCCCGTTGTGGGTCCCCCCTTGTTTTCCGCGCCTCATTCTGCGTCCGTTGTTCTCGCCTCTCTTGGGTCTCCCACGTGTTATTCTCAGGCTGCAGTGGGCTTGTCACGGGGTCCAGTTGGGTGGTAGTGGGGTCCTCTTGGGGCACTCTTGGGCCGTGGGCTCGGTGGGAAGCTTCGGGGCCATCGTGGGCCGTCATGAGTTCCCCGGAGGGCCTGCTGGTGCCGTCTGGGGTCGTGCCCGCCATGGCGATTTTTTGGGTTTGCCTGCGGATTAGCAGATGCAGTGCAGTTACGGCGGTGACGACATCAGAGTCGCCTTCAGGTCGCGGCAGAACAGTTGCGTCGCATTTCCAAGCGGGGTGGCTGGTTGAAGGCCTCCGACGGCCACGCCGGGACGTTTGAATTTCGGGTCCCCCAAGAAAACATGGTAGACGTAAGGAACCTTTGGGTTCCTTAATCTATTCCCCCCATGGGGCCTCGATGGTCCCAAAGCACGAGACATCTGTCGATCCACGAAACGTGATAAGGAGTTCCCGGGGTCTCAAGTAAGGTCCTTATTTGGGTGCCTGGTGGTCCCACAATTCAGGGCCTTTCTTTGGTCCTCGGCGGTCGCAGGTCCCACAGGATTCAAAGATCTGACAGGTCCTACAGGTCCCACAGTTCCCACAGGTCCCACAGGTCTCGCAGATCTTGCACGTCGCGCAGGTCTAACAGGCCCCGCAAATTCCGCAGGTCCCACAGCTCGCAGGTCTCGCAGGTCGCGCAGGTCTCGCATGTCCCACTGGTCCCACAGTTCCCACAGGTCCCACGGGCCCCACGTGTCCCCGAAGTCCCCCAAGTCCCACAGTTCCCGCAGGTCCAACAGATCTTGCAGGCGCCGCAGGCCTCGCAAGTCTGGCAGGTTCTGGCAGGTCTCGCCGGCCCCACACGTCCCACTGGTCCAACAAATCCCATAGGTCTCTCATGTCCCATGATTCCTAGAGGTCCCGCAGGTTCCAGATGTCCCACCGCGCCCACAACGCCCACAGGTCCCACATGCCCTGGAGGTCTCGCAGGTCTCGTGGATCCTGCAGATCCCACAGGTCTCGCAGGACCCACATGCCCCACAGGTCCCACAGTTCCAAGAAGTCTCGCAGGCCCGGCAATTCCCACAGACCCCACTGATCCCACATATCCCACATGTCCTACACGTCCCCCAGGTCCCCCAGGTCCCACAGGCCCAGCGGGTCCCACAGGTCCCACATGTCCCACAGGTCTCACAGGTCTCACAGGTTCCACAGGTCTCACGGGCCACACATGTCCCAGAGGTCCGACGGGTCCCACCGAAATCCCACGGGTCTCGCACGTCTTGCAGGTCCCACAGGTCCCACAGGCCCCACAGGCCCCACAGGTCTCTCAGGTTTCTCAAGTCCCACAGGCCTCACTGGTCCCGCATTTCCCACAGATCCCACGAATCCCGCATGTCTCGCAGGTTTCTTTGGCCCCGCAGGTCCCACAAGTCGATGTCCCACAGGTCCCACAGCTCCAACAGGGCTCGTTGGTCCCAGAGGTCCCACAAGTCCCAGAGGTCCTCCAGGCCCCAGAGGGCTCGCGGGTCAGGTAAATCCCGCAGGTCCTGCACGTCCCACAGGTCCTGCAGGTCCCGCATGTCCCACAGGTCCCACAGATCTCACAGCTCCAACTTGTCTAGCAGGCCTCGATGGTCCCACATGTCCTGCAGGTCCCACAGGTCTCTCATGCCACCTTTCTGCTATTATGGTGCCTTGCTAGGGTAAGTTTTGAGGTGCTGAGCGCGCGTAATTGCTTGAGCTGCGCGCAGTGCCGAATGGGCCATGAGCGCAAGTGGGAAACGCTGCCCCACAAATGTGGAATTTCGCCAGTCCTGGATATTTTATGCGACTTTGCGGAGGCGGTGGTTTCCATCGTGGTCACATGAGTCCCCCAAGAGAGTTCCAAGAGTGCCGTAGGAGGTTCTCGAAGAGGGCCGAAGAGAACCCCAAGAGGGCTCCAAGACGCGCCAAGCACCTCGAGGGCCCACGAGGTTCCCAGAACGGCCCAAGAGAGCCCTAAGACACTCAAAAGAGCCCTTAGAGAGATGACCCCCCCTGGAAGGCCCAATGATGGACGCAGCTTTGACGCCAAGGCTCCCAAGAGCGTCAGGTGACCGGAAAGTCCTTTGCACGCGCGCAGGTAACGGAAACATCATTGAACGCCAAGGGTCGCAAGAGCGAGAAGTGGGACAGGAAGTTCTAAACGCCTTGGCCCCCAAGAGCGAACGGTGACGAAAACAGCCCTTCACGCAAATGCTCCCAAGAGCGAACGGTTGCGTAAATATCTTCATTTCAAGGCTCCCAAGGGTGAGCGGTGACGTATACAACTCTTTGCGCCAAGGCTGACATGAGCGAACGGCGACGTAACAAGCTCTTAACGCCAAGGCTCCCAACAGCGCAGGATGACGTGAAACATATCCCGGCCTCCAAGCACGAACCGGGACGCGAGGAAGCTCTTGACGCCGAGGCCCCCAAGAGCGAACGGTGCCACAAGTCCTCTCGGGCGAGGTTCTGCGGCGCTCTTTCCGTTCCCAGGCCGGCCCCGGTCTGCCGGCCTCTGGCTCCTCCCGCCGCCGTGCCTGCTCCGTGGGCGCATCCTGGGGGGTGCTTGCGGGGCCTCCTGAGCCTCTTCGGGGCCCCTGGGGGCCGCCTGGGGGCGCCTCTCGGGGGCATGTCGGGGGCCTTCCAGGGGGCCTCCCAGGGGCCTGCTGACGGTCTCGGGGGTCCTCTTGGGGCGGAGGGCCTGAAGCGTCGGTCCGTGTTCTCCCTTTGAGCCTTTCTTGGGACCCTCTCGTGGCCGTTTCGGCCTGTCTTGGGGGCTCCTTGGTCGTCTCGGGGCTCCTTCTGGGGCGTAAATCGGGGGGCCTCTTGGGCCGTCTCAGGTCCGTCGTGGGCTGTCTTTCGGCCTTCGTGGGCCGTCCCCGGGACCGTCTTGGGCGCACCTCGGGGGGCTCTCTCAGGTTCGTCGGGTCGGTCTTGGCGGGTGTTCCCCGTCCCAGAGGCCAGCGCGAGCAACTGGGAGCGAGCGCCTGGGCATGTCCGGAGAACGCGGCCCATGCCTTTTAAACATCCTGCAGCCCGCCGAACTCGTGCATGCGCCTTGGGGCACTCCGCTTCGTGCTCAAGGTGTGGTGTTCTCCCTCCTCCCCTCCCCTCCTCGTTGGATTCGTCGACAGTTTGTCTGCAGCCCTTTGGGGCTCAGAGGGCTTCCCGTCGGCAGCCGAAGTTTCATCAGGATTTCCTCGGGCCCATGCTGTAAAACGTGTCGCCATTCCCCGTTTGTCTTCTGGATTCATGCCCGACGACTCATTTGACAATGGTAGCCGGAGCGTGGTTGAGATGGGCCAATGGGGGACTGGCATGTGCGGGAGCAGCATGGTCCAGGGAGCTCGTGGTGCAGACCGAGGAAAATGACGACAACTCATGGAAAGAGGCAGGGTACACAGCCTCAGAACGATGGAAATCGGCTTGGGACGGCGCGTGGGACAGATGGAGAGGCTGGCGCGATCGATGGAGTGAGAATAAGCAGCACGCAGAAGATGAAATTCGGCAACGGGGTGACGGCGACTGGAAGAGCGAGTGGACAGCAGAGGACTGGAACTGGAAAGAAGACTGGCTCAGCACGGCGTGGAATCAAGAGGAGAGGTCGCGATGGTTTTCAGCACCTCCCACCTTTCCAGGCATGGAACACCTTAAAATGTATGCGACCAATTTGAGATCATGGTCGAGACCCAGAGTTTCAAGCATCACGAGTATTGGAGGCGTTCACGATCGACCTTTAGAGTAAATTCAAGGGCGTCAGAGTGAAGGTGGACCAGCCCGAGGGCCTCGAGACGCTTATCGAACATCCACAG